AATGGCATAAATAATTGGAATACATGAATCATCTAATGGAAGCTTTATATAATATCAAAGGTCCATAAACAATTGATAGTTCCATTTCTTTCTCTAATCAAGCCACAAGATAAATTGTTTATGCAAATAAAAATAAAAGCTTTTTTATGTGTTGTTGAGCAACTATGATTTTCTTATAATTCATATGCACACGATAACAAAACACAGATTGCCTATAACAGCCATAGCATACAAATCTGACATACTGTTCCTTTTCTTTCTTTTTTTTTAATCCTTTAAATGATCATGAACCAGTATCCATAGCGCAAGAATCAATATGGCCAAAGATAAATCAAATTGACTTTCGAATTTAAACTCAGGAAATTATTTGTTTGACCTATAAATCAATGTCCAACCAATAACAAAATCAAACCACCTTCAATCATCTGGCATATGATTATTCTAGAAGATCAACATAGGATGGGAACCTTTCACAAATATCTCAATTTAATTTCCAGTGGATGTTTTCTGCTACTATAAGATGAGAATACAAAATATGGTCTGACAGCAAACTTGCAAGGATTAAGTCATAAGGTAGGTAGTTGCTGGGCCATGCATCTAGGTCAATAACCGAAAGCAGGATTTTACATGACATGATGTTGGCTGAGCTAAGACAACATATTCATTGTGCAGTTTTCAGATAAGTTTAGTGCCTGAAACTGTTCATTTGCCCATGCATGTGACTATGTGAGCAGCTGTCTTCATGAAAAAGGCACTTGATATACACCTGTTTGATGTTTCGTTAACCGCAATGTATCAAAGTTCATATAACATACTATGAATAGCACCTAAATCAAGCGAAGACCCAAAGCATAACTAGTAGACAGGCTATACATATTTCTGCAGATTTGCAATAGAAATCTAATGGAATATAAAGATCATGATTGCCAAATCAACTAAAGAAACATTCAGTTTTTCTTCCAGTCTCATGATTTCCTTTAAACTTCAAGTTGCAAATTGTTATCTCCATCATGTTTGTGAAAGGGTAAATGTATCTTGCACATAAATCCTAATGCAACTCTCTATTCTAAAAGTCAGTCAAAGTGAATCAAAGTAACAACAACCAAGGCAGAATAAGCAAAGATTCTGGTCAAACTTTCAACTTAGGATAGTTCTTGTAATAGCCCAATTTAGTCTCACTTCGGAAGTGAGCAAAAATTTGGATCACTAATAAGGGCTTGATGTTATTTACTTGAAACTAAGCATTTTGATCATTTTTTTTGTTAGTGGTTCAATCTCAATGATGTCAACGAGTCAACTAATCCAATCCATCATGCTAGGTCATGACAATCCAATCAATAGATGAATAAGTTGGAATTAACTCAACCAATGATATCATGAACAATAGCATACTTTCATCTTCCGATCAGTTCTAAGTGACTTTTTTTTATAAGAATGTCACTATTCTTCAGTATCACTGAACAAAAATCGAGACAACTCCACAGATATTTACCAAATTATAAACAATCTTAATGAAATAAAATAAACCCCGAACAAGACAAATGTCACTTTGAATCATACAGTGAAAGAGTAACATGGTTTCTTGAAATTAGGCATATAGGATTACTTTAAAGAAAAAAGAACGATACTCTGGAAAGCCACACAACGAAAAGTAAAAGAAGGCGAGTGGAATTTAAAACGAAACAAGCCCAGAAGCATCTTTAAATCCAAATAGGCCCGAAATAGTCGAATAGATCCCTCAGAAATCAAACAGAACCACTAAAGGATTTAATCCGAGTGGAGCAACTTAGATCTCGATGGAAAGATCCCTTTAAAAAAGCAGCTTTTGGAAGGAGGCGCATGAGAACCCACTAAAATCATGCAGGCAAAACAACAATCACAAGCAAGGCCCAAAAAAAGCCACGCGAGGCTTACTCAGTCCCCTTCGACCGAAGGATCCGGAACTGCTCCGGCGACAGGATGGCCTGCCACTCCTCCTCGGACTTCTGCACGGGACCCGACGATGCCATCACCACGCCGATCAGCCGACTCGGTGGAACGAGGGGAAAAGGAGGAACCTTCGAGGGGGTTTTATAAGGGGTTCGCGGGGAGGAGTGGGACAGCGGGGTCTTGAAGGAACGAACGTGGACGGGAACCCGGGCAGGGGGGGTTAATGTACGGACAGCGGCGCTTAGGGAAATGGAAGGAGGGCGGCGGTGGATCGCATTCCTTACAGACTGGGGAGCGACTCCCATCTCTTCTCCTTCCTCTTTCTTTATCCTATTTGTTGATGACGCGTTTATAGCCTTTCCCCACTTTTGTACTCTTCTTTTTTGTTTTTTTATGTAGGATAAAAAATATTCAGATATTACAAATAACTCAAAAAGGTTATTTGTGGTTTCCTTCGCTTCCTCATTGCATTTGCACTTATGGAATTATTGATTTCATCTTAATTATTTGTTCAAATATATAAACCAAAATGTATTCTTATAAAATATTTTTAATTATTCTTTTTTTAAATTTAGTATTTTATATTGAAAGTTAGTAATTTATTAAATTAATAAAATCAGTTAGTTATATTATTAAAATATATCATAACATTAAGAGATTGTTAGTTCATTGTATTATGCCAATAAACTTGTGTCTGGATGAAAGATCAATCTTAACTTATTTCGGAGTTTGGTGTTTCTGGAATTGCTGATAAAAATTTTAATATGTTTTATCGAATACGTCTGATCTCTTTTATCTTTATTTTCTACCATAAGATATATATCGAGTACGTCCGATTTCTTTAACGTTCAAGTTAGAAAATCTTAATATGAATTTATGTATGATCCTTTAAAAAAAATTTAAAAAAACATTGACCATATCAGTGCTGTAGATTGATGAAAAGGCTGATAGCACCTAGTCGTCGTTAGTGGTGAGGAAAATATTCATTGAATCGAGAAAATAAATATTGAATATTTTATACTGTGATCGATTCGCTTTTGTGTGTTGAATATTCTGTACTTTGATTCTGGCCAATGTGATAGATTCGTTTTCGTGTGTTGACTATTCTCTATTTTGATTTTGATCGGTACAATAGATACATTTTAGTGTATTGATTTTATTTCCTTTTTTTTTTTTTGCATTGTTGTCGTTGACCGTAGAGTTATCGTGGCTTGGTTCGATCCCGAAAAATACAAATTCATCCGGGGAGTCATAAGAGGGTATTGGAGTAGAGAGCGGATCAGGTTGACATGATCCTAAGGCGTTGTCTGTGTGCCAAAGGTAGACTCGATGTTGTCTAAGGTGCGTCTTAGCCTTGTCGAGGTCTCTGCATAAGAGATCAATGTTGGGGGATGTTCCTGACCCAACCACTTCGATGGTAAAATCAGTTGGAGAGTGAAAATAATCGAGATGTTTACCCATTTAGGCTTTGGGGTTGGCTTTTATACTTACGACTAATAGAGTGTGGTCAACGGTTGGTCACGAGGCCCTCCATGTTGTGTAAAGACTCATTTATATCGATAACTAGAGAGCACACCTCTCTAAGGATAGTGTCAGGGAAGGACGATTGAGATAGCATCGTTTATTAGGGCTGGAGCCTATCTAGAGTAAGTAGGGGATGGTCCCTTGTGCCAACTGTCCATATAGAGGGAAAAGGGGAATTGGGCTATGCCGGCCAGGAATAATGCTCTCTGCGGTTTGACATGCATGCTTTCCCAAAATCATGGTTGACGGTGGGAGACGGGTTGCTTATGACAGGTAACCTATTCGAAAGGAGGGAGGGATGGGCCTCACTATCGAGGACTAATGCACCCTACAGCTAGCTTGTACAACCTTTTTGGAGATCGAGGTAGGTAGGAGCCGTAGCATCGTGCTCCTGCCGACAATTGCAAGGGAGGGGCATAAGTTCTTCTGCGTACGTCATCGCTCAAGTGATAATCTATAGCTGAATGAGTCAGCAATGTGATGCTTACGTCATTACTTTTCCTATCATTTTTATTTTGATTTTGACTGATAAAATAGATTCACTATAGTGTGCTTTGTATTATCCATCTAGTAATCACATGTCCCAACTAGTTTTGGTTAATATTTCTATTATTAAAACTAAACAAATTATAATAAAACTATATATATATATATATATATATATATATATATATATATATATATATATATATATATATATATATA